AAAAAAAAAAAAAAAAAAAAAAAAAAAAAAAAAAAAAAAGTGTGGACAAAAATCAAACACACGTATTCTCGGAATACGTTTTTTTAAAAACCATTAATTAGAAAAAACGTATTCCGCGAATACGTTCTTACTTTTTTTCTAAATAAAAAAAATAAACACAAAATTTCTTTAATAATCAAAAATAAAAAAAAATAATAAATATAAAACGTATTATAGAAATACGTTTTAAGAAAAACGTATTGTGGAAATACGTTTTTAAGAACCGAAAAAACGTTTTTATAAATACGATTTGTATTATTCTATTTTTAAATAAATACGTTTTTAAACTGTCGGTAAACGTATTCTCGAAATACGTTTTTCGAATTAGATATAAAAAAAATTCTTTCATTTCATTTGCGCAACAGAGAAGGAGGAGAGAGAAACGAGCAAAACAAAAGAAATAGAAGCGAAAACAATCGAAAAAAAAAAAACTTGATCCAATTCTCACCCTGGCGTGAACCGACAACAACGACACGAGACTCCTTTCCAGTTAATTCATTCACACGAGGTATATTGGCTTATTTTAACTTTTTACAATGTTTGGAATTGTTTGGAGATTGAGAATTGTTATAATATGTTTGAATGTGTTAGTGTTTGAAGATTGTAAATTACTAATTGATTATCGATTATGTATGTATGTTAAATTCGAGATTGGAATTTTGTGTGTAAATTATCAATTTTGTATTGTTTGGTTGTTGTTGGGGTTAAGGTTTTTGGAAATTAGGGCTTTCAATTTATCCGAATTATAGATAAATTTGATGTTATTGTTCGATAAGGTATTAGGTTTTGGAGGATTATATGATTGGTAATATTTTTTTTTTTTGGTTAAAGTAATAAAATATGTTTTAAATTTTAGACATTATTTTGTTGTAATTTGTAAAATATAAATTTTTTTGTGCAACAGGTTATAAATGGCGTCTATCAGTCCCTACATTGTTAATGTGTACTGGAAAATTCCTAAGAGTGAGTTAAGAAATTTTTCGAATTATTTGGCTAGTCCGGATTGTTCATTTGTTATTAGTGGAATGATATCATATGAACAATTGGTAGATATGATTTACGAAAATGGTGGATTTCGTGATAGTTGGACCATTTCGGATATTACTTTGATGATCAAACAACCGGATGGTTCGTTTATTCCTGCAAGACTGAATAATGATAGTACTCTTTCGTGGATTTGCTACTATCCTCCTATATCCTTTGTGTTTTTGTATATTGTGTTGGAAGCAAACACACAGGTTACACATGTTGAGGATCCTACGCCATCATATGGTTACGGGGGAGTGTTTGGTTGTGAGGGTACGTGGAGTACGCATGCCGGTAATTTTGGTGAAGGGACGAGTAATTTCGGCGAAGGGACGAGCTTTACCATGAGAGGACCGGACATTGAGGAAGAAATTGATGGAGATGAAGATTTCAGTCCCGGTGAAGACGATTTAACTGATGAGACCTCGGAAACCGAATCGGACAGATCAATTAATGAGGAAAGCGAACAAGAATTCATTGAAGAACACCCCTTTCCAAATGAAGGCCTCCACGTTTATCGCGAGATGGGTGAGTGGGACCCGTCGTGTGTAGACAGGGACGAGTATGCCTTGCCACTCTGGAATGGGCATGTCGAGACTATCCGTTTGGGTACAGTTTTTCGTACCAAGGAAGAAGCACAGACTGGTGTTATGGCATGGAATGTTGAGAATCTTAGGGCGGTCCGGACAAAAGATTCCAACAAGAAGTCGTTCAAAGTTGTGTGCAGATCGTCTGAAGGTGTACCATGTATGTGGAAGGCTCGGGTGAGTCTTAATCCACGGCTGCACGACATGTGGGAGGTAACCGAATGGACCGACAGGCACACTTGCATGCAGGTGGTCGAGAGAAATGACCACAAGAATGTGACGGCCACCATGATCTCAAATCTTCTATTGCCTAAGATTCAGAAGCAGGTGACCTACAGTGTGGAAATGGTACAGGCCGACGTAAAAAGTGCCTGGAGCGTCGATGTGAGCTACAAGAAGGCGTGGCACGGGAGAAAAAAAAGTCATCGATCGTCTGTATGGCACGTGGGAATCGAACTTCGTACAACTCCCCCAGTAAGCAAAAATTAATTACCAGTGTATTTACGTGTTTGTAATTATATTTATTTATTTATTTATGGGTACCTTTTTATAATTTTCAGGTTTTTTGCTGCCATTCAAAGGGCGAATCCCAGCACAATCGTTGAGTGGGAATGACATGATGGGGAAATGGCTCGTCGTTCTCGAGACAGAGAATTCAAATTTGTCTTC